GTGCTAAACTCTAGACCACCGCGTCCGTATATGTATACATACGGACTCGACAGTTTACCTAAAACAGCTTGCTGTCTAATTAAAAAACTTTTGAATATTATATAAACTCTTTTTTTCGTTTTTCAAGATTAACTTACCATACCCTATAAAGTTTTCGTCGTCGTGCTTGCCCTTAATGGTCGGCACCATTAAGGGTAGGCAACGAGCACGTGACACGGTTGGAGTTCCAGGGGGTACATATGGACAGCTAGTTTCCAAAACGGTACAGAAAAACAAGCCTACTGTCGTATCATTTGGTTTGTTATTGGTGTTTCCATCACCAGCGAGTCAGTCAGAAATATAAATTAACAAATAATTTATTTTGTAACAGCCTGATAAAAACGCGCTCGTTTGTTATTGGCGTTTCCATCACCAGCGGGTCAGTCAAAATGTAAATTGACAAATAATTTCTTCTGTAACAGTCTGACTAAAACTCGTGACCTTTTTGGTTTAAATCTGAACAATAAGTTACGCCGCTCTCAAATATTTATATAAGAAGCAATAAATTGTTTTTTATGTAACTTCATTTTACAAAATGAAGAAACAATAGCTTCGTTGGATTCATTTAGAGATAAATATTATATTATATTATTATATATATTACTAGTTCGAATTGAAAAATTACTTTTGTGTTGGATAGTCCATTTATCGAGGAAGACTTTAACCTATATATAACATTACGCTACGACCAATAGGAGCGGAGCTGCAATGAAAAATATTGCAAAAGGTGGGGGAATGAAACGCAGACGAGGTTGCGCGGATCAGTTAGTATTTATATAAAAAACAATAAATTGGTATTTATGTAACTTCATTTTACAAAATGAGGAAACAATGGCTTCATTGGATGTATTTAGAGATAAACATTATATTCGGGTGATATGCTTAGTTATAGTAATATCACAGTTGAGTTTATCACAAAATGTTGATCTAAATATCACGTCAAATCTCGAGGTCCTTGGCGTTGATATATCCAGTGACGTTCAGTTTTGCGGTCATTTGGAGGACAAGGCTAAAATAGCCTCAAAAAGCTTGGTGTGCTCAGTAGAGTGAGACGGTATTTCACGGCGGCCCATCGCTTGCAATTATACAAGGCGCAGATCCGGCCGCATATGGAATACTGTTCTCATCTCTGAGCGGGAGCACCACAATACCAGCTACTTCCATTTGACCGCATTCAGAACCGAGCAGCCAGAATCGTTGGTAATCAACGTCTATGTGACAGACTCGACCCATTGGCTTTGCGGCGAGATATTGCATCTCTGTGCATTTTCTACCGCATATATCACGGGGAGTGTTCTGAGGAATTTTTCGGATTAATACCAGCTGCTGAGTTTCACCACCGTACCACCCGCCAGAAACTGAAATACCATCCTGATCATCTGGATGAATGGCGGTCTTCCACAGTGCGGTTTTCTAGAAACTTTTTGCCACGTACAACCACATTGTGGAATCACCTTCCAGCAATGGTATTTCCGAACCGATACGATATTGAAACCTTCAAGAAAAGAGCTTATTCCTTTTTAAAAGGCCGACAATGTACATGCAATTGCCCTGGTGTTGCGGGTGCTCATGGACGGCGGTAATCACTTACCATCAGGTGAGCCGCATGCTCGTTTGGCCCCTGTGTTATAAAAAAAAAGTTCATTGCAATTCTTTATTAATCTACACATATAAATAAAATTGTAGTGTCTGTTTGTAATATTGAAACAACCGTTTTTTACTACATGCACATGCATATAAATACATGATTTGATTTGCACTCTTTGTAACGATACTTCTCCGAAACGGCTTGACCGATCGACATCAAAATTTCATGAAAGGTCAATTAAAATCTCCGACGTTTGCCATTCAAAAAAATTCTGATCTATCAAGGTTATGTTAAGAATAAACACGCTCCGCTCTATGTGACCTGGTGTGCAAACAACACCCTGGTAACAAACCTAGTTTATTTTCATTATATGAGAATACAAATTTATTCTATATATAATCGACTGCAGGTTACCACAAAATGCTTACATCTCTGCAAAGGTCATCGAACCTTACCTATTGTTTGATTAAAATTTCTTATCCATCAGTAACTATTCATCAGGAACCCATACAGTCCTCGAGCACGTGTTATAGCTATAACTGTCAATCAGACGCGTGCTCAGACTTCCTGCTACATTACCATGCGTTATAATGGCTACTTGCAGTGTTGCCAGCTATATGAATGTGATTTAGTTCATATAGTTCATATAAAAGCAATAATAATAATATACTTTGCTACTCTATTGTTTTAATATATATACTAGGGACGCTATAGACTTTGAACTGTTTAGGGATTTGAAGGAAGAACAATGAATGGTAAATAATTAACCTAAAATGATATATGCGAACTAGGATGTAATATATGTGTATACACATGTTATAGCACTAGAAATATGTACAACGGCTCAAACGAGGGGCTAAATGCGGAATAAAATTGTTCTAAAAATGTTAAATCACCAACGAAGTTTGAACAAAACTATTAAGACAACAAACAAACAAGACAACAAATTTCTTGAACATATTTATATCATACAAACCTCTTGAACAACCACCATATGAGTATTCGAATAAATATTCATAATTCATAATCACAAAATAAACACACTTTAATTATATTCAATAAGAAATTAGAATAATACTAAAAATATTTTTTATTAAACAAAACTTAAGTAATGATCTAACTAATAAATATCTTATATACACCCCTAATTTTTTTTTTTTTTTTTAGACAAAATTTTTAGTTTCTAATTTTTTATGATACAACATACAAAAATACATACAATCCAAAATTTTCACCCTTCTATCATCAACCCCTATTTTTTTATAGCGTTATTAATTTATATGGCAAAACAACGTTTGCCGGGACAGCTAGTCTTATATAACATTTTAAATTTGTAATAATCATACTCTTTTATTTATTACAGTAATAAATAAAATATAATTCTCCGGCTACTAAAGCGGGCAAAATCTGTCAGTTTGTGGTAAAACTAGCAGGATGGCAACACTCGTCACTAGTGAACGAGACTTTACGTAACCGTTACGTGTACTTACCTGCACGGATGGTGCAACGGGACTTGCCTTTGAAGTTATAATGACGAACGTGGCAGGTTCATTTGATGTTAGGACTTGGAATATATGATGGGTTATTATATCCTACATGGATGTATAGGAGTTGCAATCGCTTACCATCAATTCGTTCAACTTTAAATGTCAAGTACAGTCCCATTTCGAAGGGATTTCCTACCACGAACACTTACAACGTAGGATAATCTAGTGGAAGTAGTATTTATACCAAAATATCCTTTAATTTATATTATTATTATATCACCAAGTATAATTACATTTATAAAGAGTTAAAGTAAATTTTCTTGGCAGTACTTCTCAGTATAGGTTTTTACTCGAGTTGACGTTACCTTTGACTTTTATAATGACCTACAGGAATTAATGTCAGTCCCATTTCGAAGGGATTTCCTCCCACATACACTTAACATGTAGAATAATCTGATTGAGATAGTATTCATCCTAAATATAACATTTAAAGAGTTAAAGTTTCTTGTCTGTTCTTTTCAGCTGAGGGTATCTTTGACTTTTATAATAGACCTACAGGAATTCATGTTTTAATTCAATTTGTTCTTATTCTCCCATCTCTAAAGAAAATCTCACTAAATAATTACAGTACCTACATAAATCAATACAGTGTCTAATAGAATAGGATTTTTCAAAGAGCATACAGTAAGGTTACCTAAGGATCGGTTTTAGTAGATCTATTACAGTCTTCAAGCTAACAAGAAACAGCGCTTATTATTTTCAAATGTACTTGTAAATTATTACAAAAATACAGATTTATTTTTAAATTCAATTAGAAAGAATGTAGTGACCACCAGCATATGCTATTGTATTTATAATTAATGTTTGTATTTTGATCCTAAAGAACGTGTTGAAAAACTCAATTGACTTTCAGACAATGACAATTCGGTGTTCTAATATAAAATAAGTATATATAGAAAAAGAGAGTAAATAAAAACAGCATCACATGTATTGGTATTTTAGTTTAGAGAGGAGTTTATTTTAAAAGAAATACGGTTGAGAGTTTGGTAATGACACACTTAGTTTTGATAGGCCATGAAGATGAAGATACTAGAATTAATGGTATTTTTGTTGACAAAACTATAGAATATAATAATAATAGTAATAGAAATAGAAATAATCCTTATTCAAATAAACTTAACATAAGCACTTTTGAATAGTAAAGTTTTTTGATTCTACCGCTCATTCGGAATGCAGATTCATCACAAGAAGAATGAGCAAGAAACTTGTGTGTTGCTCTTTTGAATAAATATTGTTTTATTTATATTTACATTAACAAGGATTAGGCATTCGACAATCAACATAGAAACCGCTACGCACTTTCAATCAGATAATAATCAGCGCGAGTAATAGTAGTATAGTAGTAGTAATTAACAATACTAATCTACACTATCGGGTTCTTCCGCATGGTTTGATTGTTGATGTTGATTAACAAGAAGTAACTTGTGTATCTTTAATATAAAAAGGAAAATTACAATGTTACGATGTTGACGAAAATATTATTATGTATCTTATATAATCAACTGAATATAGGAACGAAAATTTATTTCTATAACTTAATTGTACAACTAAACTCAAACTAAAATCAAAAACCTTAAAAATATAATATAATAACTAAAATATATTATTAAAAAAGAGTCCCTTTAGGTAAATCTCCGAAGATACTGGCAGCGTTCCCTCTTAGAATAGCTAGACTAATTCTTTGTCCGAGGTAGCTGCTAGCTCTTCAGTCTTCCGTAATGTCGACTAACCTTTTTGATATTTCCTTGTATATTACTTCATGCCAAATACTAGATAGACATAAATACATGATTGTTTCAAATAAAAGTTTTAATTTACTTCCTCGTTTATACAATTATAAAGGATCAATCAGTTTCTTCACGAATAAAGTCTGATAATGGACTTTCAATAAAAGGCCAGAGTATTGCGAAATACCAGCGTCTACCAAATACACTTAGCAAATTATTCTTCCATCCAATGCTTCTCTTGGTACTAATATTCTTCGACTCATGAGTAGTTACACCTCTAGTTACATTCCTCATATGAAAACAGAATAATACCGTAATCCAAACAAGAAGCAATATATTTAATAAGAAAAACAATACATATAGATCTACTACGCTCATCGGTTCTGGAGTTATAAATCGCAATAAAGGATTGATAATTCTGAAGACAGATATCATAAAGCCATGCTCCTCAAGTTTAGATGACACATAGTAATAGTTGTAATATGAGGAATATAACATTGAAATTATAATGTAAAATAGGAAAAGGATGTAATAACGCCGGTTGTAGAGACCGATGCAAGTGGAAAAGAAAAAACAGTGGTGATCTCTGCCCAGAATGCAAACATTACAAGTTCTGCAGTGCCAGCTTCGCTGCGAGCGGTTTCTGTTACAAAATTTGCAGTAGATACCATCTTTGACGTTGTTTTTTGAACTGGCATCAGTTGCAATAGCCATTAACATGTTGCCACTTACATTTATGTAACAGAATATTGACAATATAACATGTATTGAATGCTTTACGACTGCCATCTCGAACATTTTTACGAGCGTTGGTTTCACTATCACCATTTCAAATATGAAATAACCAGGTATCAAAATAAATAAAATGGCGACACACTGCACTTTTTCGTAAGTGTAAACTGGTTTTTTTATACAATTTCTTGTTATTATATTCATGTTAAATGTTGTTGAAGATAGAATGTAGTAAAATAAAGCAATGAAACGCCTGGTGTCACTTAGGAATACTGTCAAAAACTGACACTATCAAGTTTAGTACTTTAGATAAGGACAAACTCTTTAGTGCATATATGTAATTTATTTATTTAATAAATCTTTAATGCACAAATAAAATAATGATGCGGACTTAACACCTTAAGGCATTTTCTCCTAGTTAACCATGGGAAACGCAGTCAACCATACAGCAAACAGAGGTTTATGGGGGTCGTGCATAAGAAAAATATTACAGAAAACCTATGAGATTCACCAGCAAGCTTGCCTGCACATCCTTGGATTCCTTACTGACACCGATGCTTTTAAAAACACAGCAAACTGTTGCCACCATTTCCGCCATGTTTCAGCTCTGACGGCGGGATTGCCATCCACTCGTAATTCCGAAGAAGGACGTGCGTGTTCCATTTTAATTAAATACAATCCGTACAGACACTATATTTAATGCTATACACACTAAATTTTATCTTCTTATTAATATTCTGCACTGTTACGTATTTATTTTATTTTACCCGCTGCCACCATGTAGTGAAACACAAGCTTGTAAGATGAATACTACTTTATTGACAGTTGAGTGTACTACTCACATAATACACTACAGTAATAAGATTCAATATACGGGTCGTGTCGCTAGTACTAATATAAAATAAGAATATTTTATATTACTTATTAAATAACTGAACAAAAAAACAACTAAACATTTCTAATTCTTTTTCTACTGTTAAAAAGTCACCGGACCGATGCGATGCTTCTTTTATTTCCGTTTTCTGTTGAAGTTTTTTTGTATGTTACACAAGTGATAGTAAAAACACTTTACTAGCTATTGTCTGCGGTTTGACACGCGTGATGTCGCAATTTTTTTTAAGAATTGAAAAATAAACTATATACCAAATTTAAATCGCCGCGCCGGCCGCTTTGGTTTAATGGACACACTTACTTCCTATGCTAGGCGGGTTCGATTCCTCATACGATACAAACATGAGTATGATTGTTTGTATCGGTCTGAGTGTTTTGCTTACCTTATTGTCCTGACATATATAAATTGTTTTTATTATATTAATATTTATTTTCTCCGGTGGTCTAGCGGTTTAGTACACCGCTTTACGTCCGATGGTCGGGGGTTCGATTCCTCGCACGGCACAGACATTTGTATTCATGAGTATGACTGTTTGTATAGGTCTGGGTGTTTTCTATATATAATATGTATTTATTTACGAAAAAAAACAAATATTTTTGTATTTGTATCAGTTACCTAGTGCCCATAATGAGTCTAAATATATATAACTTTGAGTTATATATATTTAGATTAACTGATCGACAGAAAGGTTTAAATGTATTACGCGTTATAAAATAGAACAAGCCCAGAATTTTACAGATTCATAATGCATCCGTATGAAGACGGACGGACGGATCACTAGTTATTAATTTTGAGTTTGAGTTTCAAATCCGGATTTTAACCTAAGCACATACCGGATATAATTGCAAAGTCCGGATATTATCCTAGAAAATATATACATATTAGGTATTATATGGTAGAATAAGGATTTATATGAGCAATTTGCAGTTGAATTACTGTCAGCCGTGACGGGCAAGGGCTACAAATGTCAGCATCGTGCGCGTGCGCAAATACCACGATCATATAAATTATAATGTATCCTACTGTTACATTTACGATAATACTCATTAATCATATAACAAAAAAGGAAAAGTTTTTTTTTTCAGGACAATTCACACAGTGCCATCTAGACCCAAGTTACGCTATCTAAAGCTTGTGTTATGGGTACTAGATAACTGATACAAATATATAGATATTTTTTTCGTAAATATATACAATACATATTATACATAGAAAACGCGCAGACCAGTACAATAAATAAATAAATATCTTAGGACAATTCACATAGCGCCATCTAGACCCAAGTTACGCTATCTAAAACTTGTGTTATGGGTACTAGGTAACTGATACAAATATATAGATATTTTTTTCGTAAATATATACAATACATATTATACATAGGAAACGCCCAGACCAATACAAATGTGTGCGAGGCATCGAACCTATGACTATCGAATGGTAAGGCGGTAAATATGATATCCCGTTACATATTAATAATATGATAACAAAAAAAATACCAGTTGGGTTTCTTGCCAGTTCTTCTCAACTACAGTATCTAGCCAAGCTAGCTTCAAATAAAAATTGAAGTATTATGAGTTGATATGTTCCTATAGTAGAGATCTGCATAGTGTGGGATACAATGGCGCTGTGAGAATTGTTCTGTGTTGTTATATTAAAAATGAATCATCATAACTGTTAATGATACAAGTTATGATATTAGAGCAGAGTTAGTGATTTAACAATCCATTGTTAAATGGTACCATCATCATAAAGAACGTTTAGTGTTAATGGATGCTGTACCACTTTTAGTGCTCTGTTGGCTAACACCTGTAACATATACTAGTCAGCCGCCCCGTCTTCACCTGTCGTAATAATTGTAGTGATTCTAGCTACATGAAAACAAAATAACTCACAAACTGTACTTGACTACTGCAAATTCACGATTTAACATGAAAATCTTCTCATCTGATATGGTTAGGCGGATCCCCATTTGGTAATCTAAATATATATATAACTCAAAGGTTATATATATAATATAAACCACTGGACGGATCGGGCTGAAATTTGGCATGCAGGTAGATGTTATGATGTAGGCATCCGCTAAGAAAGAATTTTGATTAATTCTACCCCCAAGGGAATAAAATAGGGGTTGAGTTTGTCAATTTTAAACCGATCGGGCTGAGACTTTGCATGCATAAAGCTACTATGACGTAGGCATCCCCTAAGAAAGAATTTTAATAAATTCCACCCTTAAGGGGAAAAGCTTGTTGAGAAATAATTTCGGTACTAACTATCAACCCCCATTTCTGCTCCTATATATTTCACTTTTATGATAAAAATTATAATACAATTGCCTAGGTACAATCTAAATCTATACAAATAAATATATTTGTAGTGTCGGTTTGTAATTTCGAACTAACAGCTTTTCACTAAATGCATATACAATGTACATGTTTTTATTTATAGTAGTCACATTAAAAAATAAAACAAAAAATAGTCTATCTATTCTTGCTAGTCTTTAAAATGGCTGTACCAATTTTGATTTGATATTCACCAGCACATAGCTTATAATATATATAAGGAGTAACTTGGGCTACTTATAGTATAGAAATTTTATATATATATATATATAGTAATTAAAAATAACATTTACATCCCATTCGGACGAAATCTCGAATCTATAATAAAATTAAAAATGTTCTGTAGTTTAGGAGTGAAAAGAGAGAAAGACAGACTTACCGTTTTGTTATACTGAAAGACAGACTTCATTTATAATATTATTCATCATCTGCTTCTTCCTTATCTCATTTATTTGTGGTCGTCGTAATATGTTTTTCCCTTCCATTCATCTTTGTTCGCAGTCATCGCGTTATTTACTTCCTTTCTTACCATATCATCGTTCACACAGTCCATCCACCTCTTTTTCGGCCTTCCTCTGCCCTTATAACCATCCACATTCATATGTAACACCTTTCTTAAATTTATAATATTCATTTATGTGTAGTGGTAGAATCAAAATATGACTAATCAAAAGTGCTTGTAATGAGTTTATTTGAATAAAGATTATTTCTATTTCTATTTCTAATATTATTATGTACACTAATAGAGTTCTCTATGTACTGGACCATTTAGACCATTAGCCATCATTAATGGCTTGTAAGTATTGTTGCCTCACCTGCAGGTCCATACAGCGTTGAGATTATTATCAATTTGTGTATGAGATGATGTGTTGGTACATTTGTAAAATTATCTTGCCTAATATACGTTATGCAACCGCCATGGGAGATCGGACAATACAATGAATATTAAATACATATTGTAATACACTATTATAGAATTAATAACCATTATATAGTTTTACGATAGCGTATATTCGTAGTGACTACCCTGAATTACATCAAATCAAATCAAAATATCTTTATTAATGTAGGTCTATTACAGACTCTTATGATATGTCAAATCTACCGTCAGTTCGGAATGATTTCGAGATGAGAAGAACTGACAAGAAACTCAGCTCGTATTCTTTTCAAATATGATTGTACATCTTAATCTGTTTGTGACACTTTATAGTGCAAATAGTGAAACTGAACATCAACAAATACAATACAAAGTTTTTTCTATTTTCGGTTGAATTTGAACCCATAACCTTTAGAACTTGTACCCAATCTCTACTTAGCTATGGACTAGATAACATTGTGTGATTTATTCAAATAATTTATAAATTTATTTCGTAACACTGAAGTTAATGTGAGCAGCTCACATAATTTGAATATCGTTAACTTTTAAACTTAATCAAGATTAGAACTTTCTAATCATTATAGATATAATCATATTTAAATAATGATGCTATAATAATAGACCCTATGGGAATGGATAACATAACAATCGTTGGTTCACACGAAGTTCACTCATAAAAATCAGTGCCGGATTCAGCCAGCGCTCTTGCCCTGTAGATTCAAACCAAATCCTATCAAAATATCTTTATTCATGTAGGTCTATCATAGACTCTTATGATATCTCAAATCTACCGTCATTTCCGAGTGATTTCGACCTAAGAATAACTGACGTGAAACTCAGCTCTTATTCTTTTCGAATGAGTTTGTACAGGATTACAGATTCATTTTTAAATTTAATTGGGGAGAATGTAGTGACTAACTGCTTATGCTATTGCATTTTTTTTTTAAACTAAAGAAAAATGTCTCATTGGTGTAGTTTCAAAAATGACGAATACAAATCCATACAAACATCGGATTAGCCTGTGAAACAGATAGAGAGACAAAAAAATTACAAAAAATTACATTCCCTACTTACTTATAACATTCCCCTGTCTCTGATTTTAGCGTTTTTTTCT